ATTTTGTTAGTGTACTTTAAAGTGAGGATTGCAAAATATCTCCATCTCTGCTGCACCCTCACAACGCTTTAAAGCAGTGTCTCCCAAACTTAGCAACTTTAAAATATGTAGACTTCAACTCCCAGAATTTCCCAGTTAGCAATTCTGGGAGTTGAAATCTACATATCTGAAAGTTGCCAAGGTTGGAGAACACTGCTTTAAAGCAATGCAGTGCAGAATAACAGACTTCGAAGGGACCTTGGAGGTCTTCTAGTCCAACCCCCTGCTCAGGGAGGAAACCCTGTACTATTTCAGACAAATGGTTGTCCAATCGCTTCTTGAAAACTCCCAATGTTGGAGCACCCACAACTTCTAGAGGCAAGTTATTCCGATGATCAATTGTTCTCACTGTCAGGAAATCTCAGCTATGTTTTCAATGTATGCTTCCATACATTGCCTTCAAAAGGAAGGTGTGATTTTGTTATTGTCATTTTAATTGGAGGATTACAGGAAAGCAGGGCAGGAACCACAGGCTCCAACTATTGTTTGGAGCAGGGGATCTTCAGACGTGACAGCTTTAAGGCTTGTGGGCTTCAACTCCCAGCATTCCTCCTCCAGTCATGTTAGCTCAGGGATTCTGGGAGTTGAAGTCCACCAGGCTTAAAGTGGCCAAGGTTGGAGACCGCTGACTTAGAGGCAGGCTTTTGTCCAAGGTGTGAAGATCAAACACAGCTAGAAAATTGTCCTCTGTCATTCCTGACAGTCACCATCTTATGCCAAAAGCTTGATGGTTTCTCACTTCACCAACTCTGGGGCCCTCAACCACTGCTGCCTGACTTCAACAGAATAACAGAGTCAGGAGGGACCCTTGAGATCTTCTAGTCCAACACCCTGCACTTCGCCTTTTTCTAGGCTGAAATTTTAACAAGCCACCATTTATTGCAATACCACCTTTCCATTTTAGCTGGATGCTGGGCCCAGAAAGATAGGAGCCCAACCTTTTAAAGGCTCCAATAAATGAACCTTATTGTGTGGTCGAATAAGCCATGCAATCCATTAGAAGAAGCACCACTTTATTGCTAATATAGAATTACAAACGTCGCTCAACAGAAGACCAGCCCGGGGAAAGGTGCAGCCTCCAGTCTTTTTTCTTCTTTGAAATAGTTGGTAGGCATGAAGCCGGCTACTGAATGATCCAGGTGTCTCCTTATCCAGGTAGGGTCTCCCCGTGAGTCCTCCAAAACATTGAGGCCTCAGAACCAAGCATCCCAGCCAATCCTGCAGCACGGGAAGTTTTACTGCTGCACACCTCCAACATCCCTGGTGCCTCCTCTCTGTCTCTGTTTACTTCAATCTGTTAAAAGGTGACCAACTTCTCTTGGGCAACCCAGCTTGGGACTTGGTGTAGGAGGAAGAGAGGGGGCAGCCCCCCTCAAAAAACTGTATTCATTTGAAGCTTGCTTGACAGATGGGAACGGAAAGGCAGAAAATGACTGGCTGATTATGGAACGAGGCACTGCAGCTACTTAGGGGACCTGCTCCATCTCGAGTACCAGAGGTAACTCAAGGGTGTTGTTGGGCGATACCATGTCTGCCACACCGGAGGGGCAGTGGTTCGAAGGGGAGGCCTGGCCATGTTCCAGTTTGGATAGTATCCACCATAATAGGGAGGTCTTGTCCTGGTTGTAACCACGTTGTCCCACGTCTGGGGCTGTTGTGCACCATATCCTGGCCAAGGCATTGTGGTGGGCCTGGTTCTGGGGGGAGGCCGGTAAGCTGGAGCCCAGCCTTGGTTCCAGTTCTGCCCATTCTGTGAACCCCATGGGGACGGGGTCTGAAGTGGGGGAGGAGGGGGTGGTAAGGGTAGTGTCGGTACCGGTGGCTCTGATGGTAGAAACTCCTGAGTCCAAGGAAGGGTGAATGGTGTGGTGGGTTGCGTACTAGGCCTCGTCTGAGCTGCGGCCCAGTTCTCAAGCAGTTGGATTTCATTTGCCGAAGGTGGCCTTGGAGGAGACCTGGTTGGCTTTGGCCTGGGTTGAGCCCAGCTCTCAAGCTGCTGGTTGGCATTCGAGGGGGCGGTTGGTTGCCACAGCTGATTGAGCGGCTTTGTCGGGGGTCTTGTTTTGGGTGGGCGAGGAGTCTTGGAGAAGTTCTCCTTGGTCACGTCTTTGACCCATTTCAGGAAATGTTGCATGGAGGAATAGATGCCTGGCCTCATGGCCCTGGCACAGCCGGCCCCCCAGCTGGTGACACCGACAAGCCAAAAACGCTCGGACCTGTGCTCCCGACACATCAGGGGACCGCCACTGTCACCCTGCGGAACAAGAAAAGGGAAGAACATCAAGTACAGGAATTGTCAGGTGTAAGAGATCAGGAAGCCAGGCTGTTCAAATGTTTACAAGTTTAATCCGTGTTAGTTCTCTACAAGAATCTGATCTACTAACGATCAAGGCAAACTGGCAGCTAATAAGAGTCGATGGAATTCAAGGACCTAGATCTCTTGAGGGGGCAAAGGCAGAGGGCAGTCTTCCAGTATCTCAGGGGCTGCCCCAAAGAAGAGGTGGGGTCAGCCTATTCTCCAAAGCCCCTGAAGGCAGGACAAGAAGCAACGGACGGAAACTGATCAAGGAGAGAAGAAAACTAGAACTGAGGAGGAATTTCCTGACAGTGAAGACAATTCACCACTTGCCTTCAGAAGTTGTGGGTGATCCATCACTGGAGGTTTTCAAGAAGAGACTGGGCAGCCATTGGTCTGAAATGGTATCAGATCTGCTATCAAACCATTTCAGCCCTACTTCGCTTTGGTAGCAGCCTGCCACAAAGGGTGGGGAGTGGGAATAGAGGGATGTAGGGACGGGGCCTGACAGGAACCAGTGGTGCCAAACCTTAGGACTGTTACCCAAACAACTAACTTGAACCTCATGGGACAGAAACAGGGTGACCAGAAGGGAGAGACTGGGAGAAAGGGAAAATACCAGGTTCACACAGGAAGTCCCAGATCTGGCTTTGCTTATGCTGTAACCACTTGGCTTTAGGAAAAGTCAGTGGTGGCATTCGACCGGTTCTGCCCGGTTCTGGCAAGCCAGTACCAGCGACGAGCGTCAGAGACTGAACCAGTTCTCTCCTCCTCTCTGCTGTTCCACCCAGGCTTCCATGCTCACTTTTAACTGCTGAACTTGAAGCGCAGCTGCTTTGCGCAGCACAGGAGATGCGGCACGGCAGCTGCTGAAGCGACTGGGATCGTGCAGGTTTGCAGGAGGCGGAATGCTTCTGTGCCTGCGCAAAGGGTGTGTTTGGTGCACACGGGCATGCGAAGTGTGTGCACGCACACAGAGCACGCCCACCAAGCTACACCCAACGAACCAGTGGCAACAATATTTGAATTCCACCACTGGTAAAAATATACCTTTCACTACAACATGTGGAGTTGAGGGTCTTTCTTTCCTAAAGGCCCAAGCTGGGACAGGCCTGACAAATGCTATAGGGTTTCCTCCTGCCTGAGCAGGGGGTTGGGCTAGAAGACCTCTATGGTTCCTTCTGTTACCTGGCAAGTGTCGATGCCTCCTTCCTCGTGCCCAGCACAGAGATTGTTGTAATGGATTTTCTTGTCGTACCAGGCAGTGCTGTTACATGTGGTTATGGGGATGAGGTTTACTTTGGCTTCTTGCAGGATATCCGAGGTCACCTTTGGCTCTGTAAGCAAATAAAAAAAAAGATGTATTTATTTGTTAAATGTATCTATTCAATTTATTTGCCTCCTGCCCCACTGTGAGACTATTCTAGGCAGCTTACAATAACAAAAAAGGAAGAAAAATGGAAGGCGTGTAAACAGAAGCAAAACAACAGGACAATAAGTAAACACAATGAGAATGATTTGCATCAACATGACGATCTAAAAAATGTCTGTGGAAAATCTCCATCATCCAGGTCTTTTCCAAAAGGCAACTGGACTTTCTGATTTTTATTTTTTGTTTGAAAACATGTCACTTCTCATCCAAGAAGATTCTTCTACTCAGGACTGTTCCATTACAACGGCACTGGAAAAAAATGGGACTTGCAACCAGTTCTCATAGTTACGACCTACGGCATCAGCATCCCCATGATCACATGATCAAAATCCAGGCACTTGGCAGCCGCTTCATTTTTATGACGGTTGGAGTGTCCCAAGGTCACATCAGCCTGTTTTGCAACCTTCTGGCAAGTAAAGTCAATGGGGAAGCTGAATTCCCTTAACAGTGGTGTTATTAATTTAACCACTGCAGTGATTCACTTAACAAATGTGACAAGAAAAGTTGTAAAATGGAGCAAAATTCACTCAACCAATGTCTCAATCAACAATGGAAATTTGGGGCTCCGTTGTGGTTGTAAGTCGAGGACTACCTGTAGGTAATTAAAACTGGCTCTCGGCATAACCGCATGTTCACCCAAATAAACACCACAGATGACATTTAACCTACACAAGCCCATTCCCTCAAGTCTAGAATCAGCACGTACACACGTCCAGCCCAAGGACATGCTGTTAAGGTACATAGATTTAAGAGCTGACCGGCAGCTGTAAAGCTGATGCAATGTAAGGCTGATGCAATGAAGATGAATCAGCATTGATATTGCCGGTTTAAGACTATGTATGGGCCCACAGAAGATTTACCCCTTTAAGAGGTGTTCATATAAGGCAGCCATTAGAGGGCATGTTTTCTCTCTCCTTGTGTCCGGTATCCATTGCTGAGTTTTCTGTGTAGAGTTAAGAAGATTGATTGCTTGTCAAGTATATTTCTATATATGTCTTGTACATAAACCACTGTTAAATGTCTAAGTCTTTGTGTACTGTGTTTTGTTCCTGGGTTGTCTCACAAGAATAGTCACACTGCAAAAGCTCTGACACAAGCTCCCCTGTAAAGCGGCCCTTTTGTACCCCATTCTCTCTGTAGCTACCTCCACAGGCGAACCTCTTTGCTTTCGCAATAAATAAATTCCTTTTGCAATAAATAAATCTCCTCCTCCATGTCTGGATTTCATTTTGATTTGCTCCTGCTCAACCCTGGCTCGAATTGGAACCCCAATTTTTTATCCTAATAAAAGAACCCCCGTTCTGGGTGAGCGAAGATCTCAGAGAGAACAAGGGCCTGCTGGCTAAAATCTTAAAAAGCCATTTGTGTTGAACAGCTTTCCAACATCTCAGGCCTGGAAGGACCCAAAAGTCCCACCAGAGTAGAAAACAGCTTCTCAAGTTGTGTTGTGACTAGAGACTCCTTCTTGGTGGACATGCTGAAGGACTCACTCGAGACGTCGGTCACTCCCCACCCGCTGACGTAGCAGCGGGTCAGCGATGAAATCTCTATATTCATATCCGGCAGGCAGGCAGGTTGGATGTAGTCACTGCAGTTGATTGGGTGGCTTAGCTCCATCAAGGCCACGTCGTTGAAGTAGGTGGAACTTCTGTAGTGCTGATGCTCCACCAGGTTCTTGATGGTGCGTTCCTGGGCATCTGGACCAGGCCGAGAAAGCTGAGCAGCACCAAAAACCAGCTTCCAGTGTTCTAGGTATCTGGAGCAGAGAAGGAGAAGAGAGGCGGTGACCACCCTGCATGGAAAACTGCCCCATCCCTGCCCCCCCCCCCAAAAGTGTGATTAAACTAAAACTAAGAAAGGCTCACAGGGAGGTGGTTCATGGACTTTATGACAAGGAGTTAGGATTCAAAAGAAGTAGCTGAATCTGTGTGTGTCTTCGGCTTCTGGGAAGGTGCTCAGTCTGTCCACTTAGAGTAGATTTGATCCTACAGCCCTATGAACTATTCAATCAGAATAGAGTTGGAAGGGACCTTGGAGGTCTTCTAGTCCAACCCTCTGCTCAAGCAGATCCTACACCATTCCAGACAAGTGGCTGTCCAATCTCTTCTTAAAAGCCACCAGTGATGGCGCATCACTGGATGGTATAGTGGCACTAGAATTCACTTATACCTGGTAGTTGGCAGTATTCTAGTAGTTGAGGGGCTGCTAGGAAGAAGGGAGGGTCAACCTATTCTCCAAAGCACCTGAAAGCAGGAGAAGAAACAATGGATGGAAACTAATCAAGGAGAGAAGCGACCTGGAACTAAAGAGAAACTTCCTGACTGTGAGAACAATTAATCTGCGGAACTGCTTGCCACCAGAAGTTGTGGGAGCTTCATCACTGGAGGTTTTTAAGAAGGGTCTGGACAGCCACCTGTCTGAAACTGTATAGGGTCTCCTGCTTCAGTAGGGGGGTTGGACTAGATGACCTCCAAGGTCCCTTCCAGATCTATTCTGAACTCCAATTTTATTTGTCCCAAAGTCACTCAGTTGGTGTTCATGCCTAAGGCAGGACTGGAACTCAGTCTTCCACTTTCTAGCCTGGTGCTTCTACCACTAGATCAAACTCTCTCTTATTTCTCAGGTTGGGGGAAAAAAAATGCTATAGTTTTCTTCTGGGAGGTGAGCATGATGCAGCTGCCTGCAATCTTGTGTCTGAAAACAATTAAGGAAGGATGGTGGAAAATTCCCAGCTCACTCCGTTCAGGTTTCATGTGTGTAATCTACACACGTAAAGGATAGTGTAGAAATGCAGGAAACATGCAAACAAGTGTGTGCAAAGAAAAGCAACCAAGTTGATTAAGAGGCTAGGGGCTAAACCAGGGGTCCCCAAACGTGGCAACTTTGAAGACTTGTGGACTTCAACTCCACCAATGTTGGCTGGGGAATTCTGGGAGTTGAAGTCCACAAGTCTTAAAGTTGCCACGTTTGGAGACCTCTGGGCTAAACTGTGCAATGAATCGTTGCAGGAGCCCAGTCTTGAGTGTTTGGTATGCAGAAAGAGGTTCAGGATGGATCCCCCCTAAAGCTTCATAGGATTTTTCTGATGGTTATTTGCATAGATGCTTTAGTCTGGCAAGATTCTGGTCTATGGGCAAACGGCAATAGAGAAACGATTCTGAGCAATTCTTCGTGCCATTCTTGGTTCCTTGTGCCTGGCTATCTCTATCTGCAAACCTAACTGGACACCCCTGACCCAGCCAGGTGGGACAGGAGGCCCTTCCTTCCCCCTCACCTTTTGTTGAGGAAGCAGTGGGCTGCGGTGATGACCCAGCGAGGGCTGATGAGAGACCCTCCACAGGTGTGCCTGAAGCCAGTCGTGGTGGGTATCTGGATGCTGACAATCCAAGGCCACGTTCCCGGGAGCGTATCGACGCCGCCCACGATCCGCATGTTGCTACTGTGACTGGAGGCCAGAGGACGGCGGCCACAGATATCGCTAGGGAAGAGAGAGAGGTCAGTTCGATGTGGGGCAGGAATGTCTGTGAGAAGAGGGCTGAAAAGGTCAAGAATAACAGAGATGGCAGGGACCTTGGAGGTCTTCTAGTCCAACCCACTGTTGAAGCAGGAGGCCCCATAGCGTTTCAGGCAAATGGTTGTCCCGTCTCTTCCTGAAAACCTCCAGCGTTGGAGCATTCGCAACTTCTGTTCCAATGGTTAATTTTCCTCCCTGTCAGGAAATTCCTCCTTAATTCCAGGTTGCTTCTCTCTGGTTAGTTTCAACCCGTTGCTTCTTGTCCTTGTCCTTCATGGGCTTTGGAGAATAAGTTGACCCCTTCCTCTCTGCCATAGCCTCTTAGATAATTGGAACACCCTCTCACAAGGCCCCACTGTAGACCCTATTAATGCAATGGGGGCCCAGGGTGGCCAGGAGACCGTCGAAGGAGGCTTAAAGCAATGTCTGCCATCCTACAGAGTCATACTCATCGATGGCCACATTGGCCTTAAGCAGTTGAACACCCTGAAAGGAGAAATCTGCAACTGGGGACGAGTAACACACTCAAAACCAAAGCACAATCATGCAACGTACTGAAGCCTCGTCGGGAATGAATTCTTAGGAGGCCGGTACTATACTCTAAGCCAGAATGTTACTGGACAAACTTGGCATGTTGTCCAAATGCATCCATCTGGCTTGTTGTCAGTTCAATCATGTTGACCATGCTCGTCAGCTGAGGAGCATCACAGTTTGCTGTGGATGCTGGAGATGGCATGGATGCTGCCTTGAAACCCCACAAGGAAGGAGGAGACATTAAACTTTCCACCACAGGAACCCAATAAACACATAAGGCCAAGAACAGAGCAGAGTTCTCCATCACAAAGGTTCAAGGAAAACTCTATGGCATTCATCCACCTGAGAGCAATGGCTGATGGGGACACTGCTCAAAGACAGCCATTGTTCCTCCTTCTAGTTATGGCCAAGCTAGTCCTATGTAGGTTCCAGGGTGTTGTGGCCTGCCAGAGGCCAGCAGACCTGGCGGCAGACTCGGACAGTGAGGAGGTTGGGGAGGAACATGGGCCAATCCTGGAGGCTGAGGAAGGCTCGGATAAGGGCTCTGCATTGGAGGCAGAGATGGGGACCAGGGCCATCCGACAGTCATCAGTTGCCTTTGGAGTTGGAGATCAGTGAGGCAGAAGAACAGCTGGAGCCTGTTCCCAGTGTGCGCATGCGCAGAACTGCCAGGAGAAGTGAACAGTTAAGAAACAAGGGTCAACTCAGGAGTAAAGACACAGGTGGACAGTGAATGGCCCCTCCCATAGGGAATAAAGAGGAGCAAAAGGGGAGTGGAGGTTGCAGGAGACAATTAGTTCGTTTAATTAGTGTGAAGATCTGTTTGTGACTCTCAGAGACTCCTTGCCAAGTATTTTCTTGTACACTGTTACACTTGGAAGCTATCGGCCTGGCAGCTCTCCAAGCCTGATAAGGTGGTTGGAATTAACCTTTGAAAGACTGTTTGCCGGGACTTTGCTGGATGTGAATGAGAGGAATTAACATTAGCCTAATTAAAAGGGTTTTTTTTGGGAGGAAGAGTCTGATTTTGTGAAGCCTAGATCAGAACACAGGGAAGGTGGACAGGAATTGAAGCCTGGGTGACTGTAGCAACCTGCCTTCCATGCACAGGGTGGACATCTGTTGTAAGGGAGGTCTGAAGCTCCCAGGGTTTCCTCTGTGGGCCCAAGTGCTGCAGGGTGATGGATCTGGAGACATTCAGTAGGCATGACCAGAAAAGCCACACCTGCTGAGGAACAAGCATCGTAGAGCATTACGACCACTTCCTCTGAGCAACCCCTGGATTTGACACGACTCACCCACATCTGTTATCGTACGCATGTGTGGACCATAACAGAAAAAGGACCAAAATACGAAGAGGTAACTGCTTCATCCTACATGTCTCAAGAAGTGCTCAGTTCCATCTTGGGCTTACGACATTCCTCATGACGTCACAAACCACAGACCGCTCACCTTCTTCCAATCAGCACGCAGCCAATATGACATCACGCCGGTTCTCTGCTTCCTTTCCAGAGGAGAGCCCTCAGTGACAGATCTCCAAGGGGCTGGCCTGGAGCCTGGTTGCTTAGCAGCTAAGGTTGACAGGCAGCAGGCAGACTTGCTTGATTTTCCTGCCACGGATTTGGTGGTCAGAGGGATATTTTCAGTCAGATTCCAAACTCACATCATGAATCAATACGAGAAAATTGAGTGGGTTGGACTCTCTTAGCACCCAGTAGCAGTGGGTGAACAGTGACCATCAGAGGCCCAATACTTACAGATACAGATTACAGAGTTGGAAGGGATCTTGTAGGTCATCTAGTCCAACCTCCCCACCCAAGCAGGAGACCCCACACCATTTCTGAAAGATGGCAGTCCGGTCTCTTCTTGGAAGCCTTCAGTGATGAAGCTCCCACAACCTCCGAGGGAAACTTCTGTTCCATTGGTTGATCATCCTCACTGTCAAAAAAATTCTCTTTATTTCCAGGTTGAATCTCTCCTTGATCAGTTTCCATCCATTATTCCTTGTCTGACTTTTCAGTGCTTTGAAGAATAGATTGACCCCCTTCCTCCTCTCTGTGGCAGCCCCTCAAATATTGGAAGGCTGCTCTCCTGTCTCCCCTGGTCCTTCTCTTCCCTAGACTAGCCATGTCCAGTTCCTGTAACCGTTCTTCATATGTCTTAGCCTCCAGTCCTCTAATCATCCTGGTTGCTCTTTACACTCTTTCTAGAGCAGGGGTGGGCAACTATGGCCCTTTTATGAATTATGGGCTTCAACTCCCAGAATTCCTGAGCAAGCCATGCTAGCTCAGGAATTTTGGGAGTTGAAGTCCACAAGTCATAAAGGGGCCATAGTTGCCCACCTCTGTTCTAGAGTCTCAAAATATTTTTATAATGTGGTGACCAAAACTTTGGCCCCTAGTGAAACTGGCTGTTACAGCCATGGGAGGGGGATGTTTATATATGATTCTCAACAAAGTTTTCCATTTTGTACAGGCCAATTGTCAGCTAGCTCAAATGGGCCAGCTTTCTCCCAGGCTAACAGCAATTCACTTTGGGGGAAGACACCACGTTGGTTCCTTCTTGTTTTTCTTTTTTCAGTGGTATTGTGGTAGACTGGGCTTTTATAATCAGAGTTTCCCAAGCTTCTTGTGTTGTTCTCCCCTTTAAGATTTTCATCTGTGGAATTCTTTCCAAGTTCTCTCTAAGTTTGTAGAAATCAGCTCTTTTAAAGTCTAAGACGCTGGCTCGATTATGTTCTGTTGGGTTATGTCTGCATGAAATTGAATTCCAATACAACATGGTTGTGCTCCCCCAAAGTCCCTGCAATTTCAACCCCTTTTACCTTTTCATCTCTGCTTATGGGAATTAAGTCCAGTATAGTTGACCTTCTAGTTCTCTCGTCTACCTTTTGGATGACAAAATTGTCAGCTAGGCTCATCGGTCAGCTTGCTCAGTCTTCCACTTGATGCAGTGTTTGTCCCAGTTTGGTGTAGTTAAATTCCCTCATTACTACTGCAGTGTGTTTCCTGCATATAGATGAAAAAGTTCATCTCTTTCTTCTGCATGGTTGGGTGGCCTGTAATATACACCTAAAAGGTAAAAGTAAAGGTTCCCCTTGCACATCCATGCTAGACTTTCCTGGCGCTAGAGGGTGATGTTCATCTCCATTACAAAGCCAAAGAGCCAGCGCTGTCCGAAGACGTCTCCGTGGTCATGTGGCTGGCATGACTAAATGCGGAAGGCGCATGGAACACTCTTCCCTTCCCACCAAAGGGGTCCCTATTTTTCTACTTGCACTTTTTTTACATCCTTTTGAACCGCTAGGTTGGCAGAAGCTGGGACAAGGAACGGGAGCTCACTCCGTGACGCGGCACTAGGGATTCGAACCGCCGAACTGCCGACCTCTCTGGTCGACAAGCTCAGTATCTTAGCCGCTGAGCCACCGCATCCCTTATAATATACACCTAGGGCGATGTTATTCTTTGACACTGCCATAGTACATATTTTAACACAACGACCACAATTCTTGCCAGTGCTAAAGCAGCTGACACCAACACAAGCAAAAGCCACGCAAGTCTTGTGTACATTTTTACAAAAATTTATTTAGAAGTACATGCATTTTAATCACCTGTTACGTTCATTGGATCACTTGAGAAGTTGCATTGCGCAGAATACTTTATCTGCGTAAGGGAAGACCCCCCCCTTAAGCAAATAAAGTGGGCGCCTGACCAGCAACAGTTGGGTCTGGGGTTGGTTCAAGAGCGAGGGTGGTGTCTGAAAGGCCAGTCCTTGGGCCAGTTTGAACTCCCACTGTAGCCATAGTAGCTGCCCAGCGTGATGGTCTTGGTGGGTCGTTTGCGTTTGCGAGGTGGGACTTGGGGCTGAGGAGCTTTGGTGGTGGTGGGAGTTGTGGTGGTTGTACTCCTTTCAGTGGTGGATTCAGTGGTGGCTTCGATGGTGGCTTCAATGATTTCTTCAGGAGTGACTTCAACGTCTTCAATGATTTCTTCAGTGCTGTCTTCGGGGTTGGCTACCTCAGGGGCCTCAGTAGTGGTTTCAGTAGTAGTAGTAGTAGTAGTAGTAGTAGTAGTAGTAGTAGAAGTAGTAGTAGTAGTAGTAGTAGTAGAAGTAGTAGTAGCAGCAGCAGCAGTGGTTGTTGAAGTGGTCATCAAAGAACGAGTAGGGTTTTTTTCGGTTTGTAAGTAAGTCCACGGGTTTCGGAGTATTCTGGTGGGATCTGGTGGAAGGGATGTTGTCTCTGTTTTGGAAGTTGGCTGGGTTTGGAAAGGCATTTCCAGATTCCTTCGAGTTTGTTCGGGGGCAGGTGGGATTGTTTCTTCTGTGGACATTGTTGATTTAGGTGTCGATGGAGTAGATGTGGTTGATGATGTTGTCCCTGGGAGCACCTGTGGCACAGGGGTGACCTCTTCATGGGTGGTCTTTTCTTTTGTGTAGCCTAGGATCCAGTCATAGAAGTTCTGGGTAGAAGTGTAGACTCCGGGCTTCTGGGCCCTGGCACAGCCCAGCCCCCAGGCAGTCACCCCTACAATCCAGTAGCGTTCAGACCGGTTTTCCCTACATAGCAGAGGCCCTCCGCTGTCACCCTACAGTAGGAAGAAAGATAAGCTATGAAAGGAGCAACCAGGGGGAGAAGTGAGGAACAAAGAACTTGCTGGTGTGTCAGAACATAGAATAACCAAGTTGGAAGGGACTTTGCAGGTCTTCTAGTCCAGGGGTCGCCAAACATTTGGACCTCAGAGACCACCAAACTCATAATTTTAAATCCCGTGGACCACTAATATGAATCCAACATGTTGCTCACTGAAGCGCCTAGACTCCCACTGATGGGATGGGGTCCTTCAGGCACTTAGCTTGGCTGCCTGTTTCTGCAACTTTAAATACTCAAAGAGTCATTTGAACCCGTTTCCCACAGAAAACAAAACATCGGGATCTCTCATCTCTCTCTCTCTCTCTCTTTCCCTCCCCCTTTCTCTTTCTACCTTCCTCTTTCTCTCTTTCTTTCTCCCTTTCTCCCTCTTTCTCCCTCTTTCTCCCTCTTTCTCTCTTCCCTGCCCCCCCTGTCACTCCGGTTGCAGACATGGGTGTGCTGTGGCCCATCAAAATTTTCTCACGGACCACCAGTGGGCCAAAGTAATATTCCAGATAAAAGCCTGCCGAGACTCTTTTGGAAAGCCTCCAGTGATGGAGCCCCCAGATGTTCTGGAGGGAAGCCATTCCACCAGTTGGTTGGCCTTGTGTATATGGCCAACCAACCAATATGGCTTTGGGTAGACCATAAATCAAGTTCATCCCCTGAAAACCATATTGTTTGCCGATGGAAGAAAATATTTGTAGCCCAGGGTTGAACTGTGAATTTTTTTTCCTTTTAAAAAACAAACAAACACCTACATATATTTGCATTATTTGTAAGCTACCCCCAGCATTTATACCTCTGGATGAATACCAAGGCAGAACATGAAAATCATACGGCATGTGATTTTTATAACGTTGTCATAAACATGAAAACAACACCTAAATCTAAGGTGGGTGCTCAGAATCAATCAGAATAACAGCCCAGAATGGATGTGGGTATAACCTGCTCACACACCTGGCAAGTGTCAATGCCTCCTCCTTCAAATCCAGCACACAGGTTACTGGCGGAGATACTTCCATAATACCAGTTGCTGCTGTTGCACTTCTCTGTGGGGATGAGGTCCACCTTGGCCTCCTTCAAGATATCAGATGGAGCCTTGTCTGCACAGGAAAAGATAATGGCTGGATTTCCCCACACACTCTGGGGTCCCTGGTGGTCTCTACAAGCTGGGTGGTTTTCTTGCAGATGTTTCATGACCCAACTAGAAAATACCATCAGTGCTAGAAGGGAGTGAGGTTTGAGAGGAGGAGGAGGAGGAGGAGGAGGAGGAGGAGGAGGAGGAGGAG